CCACCCGGCTAGCTTACACCCGAAATAATCACACAGAAACTGCATTTATTTAAACACTGCTTGGCCCATTAGCTCTAACTTCTTATTGGCTAATTCTTACATCTTAATTTAACCCATTTCTATTAATCTGTGTATCGCCACGTGACTGTGGCTTACCGGCAAGATTCTAACTGGCGTCCATCTCAGGCAGAAGATCCATGGCATCTCATCTCTCACTCTGCCCTTCTTTCTCCCAGAATTCAGTTCTGTCTCCTCTGCCTATCTAAGTTCTGCCCTATCAACTAGAAAAAGAAAAGGCAGTTTCTTTATTGAGTAACCAATAAAAGCAACACATAAACAGAAGGAACTCCTACACCACAAGTTCATCATTCTATGTATTCTCTTCCAGTAGCAGAAAATGGACTAAGACAATAATGATACAATTCTTTTGTTGTCCTTCTTGGAGGTAAAGTCCCAGCATGTAGTCCAGTCTGGCTTCAAACTCTTAATCCCTTTGCCTCAGCTACCCCAAAGCTATGATTACAGCTGTGGGCTTTCATTCTCAGCTTTTAAAATTTGTTTTTATTATCATTATTTCTATTATAAAAACTTTTCTTCCAGCTTAATAAAAATGCATGTGGGTTTGAACTTTGGGGATGGTAAAGGAGAAGCAACCTGTGTGTGTTTTTTGTCATCCATTAGCTCACTTACAAGGTTTCCCTGGCCTTCAACACCTCCACAGACATCGGAGATGGGGTAGCTACACATCTGCATCTTGATGCATGGTCCACCACCTAGGCACACACAGCTGACTGATACATCTTAAACACAAGAGCAGCCAACTAGAGTGTATGTGGGTAGATAGGCTCAGAACCTGAGCAATACTGGTACCTAAAAAGCAAGTTGGTCTAAGGTTTAGAATGTTTTAGTGAGTGGGGATTTGATGGAGGAGAGTGAGAAATAGAGAGGGAGTGAATAGGGATAAATAACACTGAGGGTGTTTTAAAAAGTAACAGGGAATCATATTATTTTTTTCTAAGATTACATTTAAGTTTATGTGTTTACATATGTTTACAGTTTAAATCAGGTTACACCATTAGGAGTGATGATGTTCTCAAGGGCAACAGTCTACCCAACAATCCCCACCCCCCAATACCATACATGAGAAAAATTTCAAGTTGTTGACCTCAGGGGCATCCAAGAAACCCACCGAACAATAAAGCCTACTTCCATTGCTCCTGATGGCATCCCAGAATTTTGCTAGAGACACCATATACTTCAGACATAAGACTTGGAAGAACTGAGCTGGAACTGACCGGGAAACGTCCTCTCTGTGGACTAGCTCTCTCACAGGAGTGCAAAGTACTATGTAAGCTACCAAAGGAAGAAAGTAATCGATATTTCTACTAATCTGTGATGCTGAAACCACTAGCAAGCACATCAAGCATTCTCCAAACATGTAATAGTGGCACTTATATCTTGGGGGTAACCAACAGCTATCTAATTAGACTAGTGTGGCATTTGAACTTCAGTCTTCTTAGCTTGTTTGAATCAGAAGCCACAGTAAAGCCTTAAGCTTGCTCCTTCCTTTCTCTTCCTCTCAGGAGAAGCAGGGAGGTGATTAAGTGCTCACATAAAGGACAGGTTGAGTCCCAAGGCTGAGAGAAAGGGAAGCATTTTGGTCCTAACCAATTCCTTTCTTTCAGCCAACGCCAAAGGTCTGGAGAGAGGTGCAGGAACAGAAGGTAGCCCTGGAAACAGCTAGAAAGAGAAGAGACCTGGCTATGGAAACTGACTGGAGACATGGGCAAATCTCAGAGTGAGTGGCCCAGAGGAGGCTCAGAAGAAGTGAGCGCAGATCCAGCCCCAATCCCTTAAGCATGCATGGACTCAAGAACAACAGACATCGGAGACTCACAGCGGTTTCCATGTCGCCAGCTGTAACGTATTTACGCTTAAGCTATTCTGCAACCACAGCAATTGTAGAGCACACGTTACAATTATTTTTACAGGTTGTTGACTTTTCACAGATCCTAGAAATGAAAGATGGAGGAGGACGGAACCGAGGAAGTGAATTCGCAGATGCGAGACTCAGATGGTTCCACCAGCTGTCCCTTCGCCACTGCTGATGAAGTCAGGTACGGAACGGTGCAGAAACCTGAGTAGAAGAGTAGACTCCACTGGGTTCCGGCTGTGCTCCGGGGACCATGCCAGACGTTGTAGTGAGACTCAGGAACGCCATGTGTTCCAGGCATCTTCACTTTCTCCAATCTGTACAAGTGGCACGCCTGAGGTCATGCGCCCGCATAGGGTAACACCCGCCAGCATATGGCCCAAACTGTGATCTGATAGCAAAGCTATGATTCTCTCTCTTTTTCCCCTTACTGCCCTGAGGACTTAAATTTGGGGGACCTAATAGTCTCTGTCACCCTCAGGAAGCGATGATGAATTAGGTAGAACGTCAGATTCTTTAGTTCCATGGGCTTGCTCCCGGCCATTGTGCAGCGTTCTCTGTCTTTGACCCAACCATCCTTTCTCTTCTCACTTTAGCCCATGCGAATTTCAGCGAAAACAAAATCCGTATGTTTTTTATTCATTTGCACTTAACAAAATATGATTTTGAGAGAGAAGATATGCCAAAAGTGCATTTTTTTACTTTTTTTTTTTTTTAAAAAAAAGGCTCTTTCTCCCTGGAAAACAGAATGTCTGCTCTCGCCAAAATCATAAAAACTTCAAATATTAGGGTTCAGCCTAAAGCTTAGGGATAATGAGGTTTGGGGGAGCTGTAATTGCAGACTGACACTTTGCTGCAAGCCAAGCACTAGGGGATGTGTCTGTCAGATGAATGCTTCTTGGTGCCCAGTGAAGCAAGTTGATATGGACATTATGGGCAAAATGCTGCACATATTTTAGAATTGAAAACAGCATCAGAAGTCGTATCGTTCAACAGTCTCAGCTCAGAGATCAAGAAACAGAGACTCTATGAAGAGCTGTGTGTGCACGTGCATGCAAGTGTGTGTGTGTGTGTGCGCGCGCGCGTGTGTGCATATGTGTGTTCCAGATCCAAAGTTAGGACTAAGTTCCCGACTCTCAAATTCTCAGTCCACTGATTCTTCTAAACCACCTTTCTGACTTACTATGCAAATATACAGACGGCTTACTGAAAGTTTCTCCAAAATATACTCTGCCTTTGAAACTGCTGCTGAGCTCAATCCCTACTACTAAAGACCATTTCCTTTCTCTAGGGTAAAACAGGAATCCCCGTTTGTACAAAAAAAGTGACAAAAAGAAGTGACTCCCGTTCCCTTGAGGAAGTAACTCTTGAACCCTAAATGAGTATAATGCAGATGATAGTAAACACTTTCTTTTTAAGTGTTCATTGGTGCTTTGCCTGCATGTATATAAGTGTCAGGTGCCCTGGAACTGGAGTTACAGAACAGAGTTATGGTTGTGAGCTGCCATGTGGGTGCTGGCAATTGAACTCAGGTCCTCTGAATGAATAGTCAGTGCTCTTAACCGCAGAGCCATCTCTCCAGCCCCAGTAATTATTTCTTTATGTTAAAAGTAGGAAACTGATAGGTTAAAAATAAATGGTCTTAGAAAGCACTTTACATGTGGTTCAATAATAATAGTAATTACCATATTAAATCATTAAGAATTCAAAGATACTATAGACATTATCTTTAAGTAAGGGGTTTGAGGTCAGATTTTTGCTGTGTAAAGCATGTAACCCTGGACAACGGTAATCTATGTAACCCATGGCAAATAACAGCTCAGTGTAAATGTCTTTGAAGTACCATTGTTATATCAACAGTGATCTGCAGAGTGTTGCGAGGTTTGGGAACACAGGTGTCTCCTATGCACAAAGTAGGGCACACTCATCCCGAAGGTGCTGAGCACTCACAAGGCAACAGTGCTGTGCTGAGTTATAGTCATCTCGGAACACAGAACACAACATTAAGCCGATGCTATCATCAGCCTTTTTCTTTCAAGCAAAGAAGCTGCGAGTTAAAGAGACTGTAGGGGACAGAACAGAGACCCCGCCTGGAAGCATCTTGTTATGTCTCTTTAACCCATTACTATTTTTTCATTGACATATTAAATAGTATTATTTCCTTACTATCAATTATGTGTGTGTGAATGCGTGTGCAAAGGCGTGTTCACTTGTGCGTGCACACATAAACGCAGGTACGCATAGAGGTCGGAAGAGGGCCTGAGATTTCCCTGGAGCTGGAGTGATAGACAGCTGTCTTAACTGCTGAGCCATCTCTCCATTCCAAAGAGTTTATTTTAATATCCCTATTCCCGTGTAATGTAGGTACTATTAGTCTGTCTTACAGGTAAAAGTCTTCACATCTTAAAGATACCACGTCTTACACAAGATCAGAAGGCCATTGAGCAACAAAGGGAAAATCAGAATCCTGCTTTGATATCTCAAGGCTATGCTCCTTCCTGTGCACCATCCTACTTTGGAGGAAAGTGTGGATCAAAATACAGGGTCCTGGAAAGCCTCATCAAATATACAGTTACAAAGATTAGTTGGTTTAGGAACTGGATTCCACCCTGGAAACCATGAGCCCCTGCTTGCTGTCCTTGGGTAGTCCTGACTTCCTGCTGAGCCTCATGTCACTAGAAATTGCCATCCACTGTCTGATTTGAACCACAAGGCTTTCAGAGTGCCAGGATTTTATCTGCATTTGATCTTCCCCAGATATTGGAGTGGCTTCAAGGCTTCAGAGTGTTCTCCGCCTTGTGTAGACCAACGCTTGTGGGAAGGTGGTTTCCTCTCGGTCCCAGCATGGGTGGCAGCCCTGTCTTGTGAGCCTATCCAATTGACAATCTTTCACTTTTAGGGATTTACAAAACCAGGGTTCCCCCAACCCACAGACTCCCTCTCATTTTTTTTTTGTCCTCATTGCATGGATTCGTGAATTCTAGGAGTTGGAAAGTGAACAGTTTTTCTCTGTCTTTCCTAGTTGTCTTGTGGGTATTTGTCAAGTGTCTGCTCTGCAAGCCAATGGTTAAGTGGTAGAAATGGGAGTTCCCTTTCTTTCACCCCTGTTTCAATCTGACTTCAGGCAAAGTAAACAAATCCTGCCCAGCAAGTTCAATGGAGCAAATTTAGCATGGTGAACAGGCCATAAACTTAGGAAGATCTGTGAGGGCAAAGGATACAACCGTGAGGTAGTTTAGAGACTAGGGACTGAGGGAGAGCTTCAGCCAGCCACAGGGTTGTGGGGAGCAAGAAAGATGAGTTTCTCACAAGAAGACTGGGGAGAACAGCATAATGAGGATGCAGAAGAAGGAGCTGGCTCCAGGGCTCAGGGACAGTAGAGAATAGATGGTGACAGCCACAGACACCTTCCAGAACAGTGGGAGGTATAAAAGGACCCCAGCATCTTCCCCTCCCATCCAACCTCTCCACCAGGATCTTTGATTGCCAAGCTGACCACGATGCCACTTGGCACGGGAGTCTGCTAACAAGAACTTACAGGGTGAGTTTTCTGCACTACAGGGTAAAGCGGGGTGGGGTGGGGTGGGGGTACAACGACCCTTAAGCTCCTCCTTTCCTTTCCTCCAGCCTCACCACCTTCCCTCCCTCCACCTTGAGTTATTAAGACGTTGAAACATCAGATATGGTAAAATGTTTGCTCCAGATCTGATCCTAAATTATTCAGTGTCTTCCAAAACCAAAACTTAATGTCTTACTTTGTACACGGCCCTGTTGGAGCTGGGTTTGTTCCCCTGGTCCACTCTCATTTTTCTGCTCTTTCCTACTACCAACTGGTGCTGCAAAGCCAAGGCATAAGCCTGCCTTTTCTCATGTCTTACATCTGCATCTTCTTTTGTCACACATTTGCCTTTTCTCTTGCCTCTTTGTCTTTATCCAGTGTTTTGTTTGGCTACTATATCTGAGTGAGCATCTATTTACACAAGAAGACAGAGCAGAGAGACTGGAGAAATAAAACTTGAGTCTTGGATGCTTTCAAATAGGTTCTATCTATTAAACCAGAGGACCAGAAGCCCAGACCAGAACTGTAGACAAAACTGGGAATTAGAAGACAGCACATCCCCAGTGGAATCACAGCAAGGGAGCTGAACACTCTTGGAACGAATAAGCGGTAAGTACCATGGGATCATGTTTATTGGCTCCACTGCATGGCACATTGATCTGGCCTAAAGATGGGGGTGGAGTTGGCTTTATTACTTTCAGGGTGGTAGAGCTCATCAGAGCACACAAATTCCTTTAAGCCAGGGCAGACGCGACCTTCCCCAAAATCCCAGATAGTAAATCTTTTAGGCTTTGCTGGAAACACGATCTCTGAGGCAGCTACTGGACTTCGTCATTACAGAGCAAAGGCAGCCCCAGATAATATGTCAACAAATGGGTGTGGCTGGGTTCCACCCAATCCACTTACGAAATGGAAGTCAGCCTGCAGGCTGAGTTCTGGTAACTGGGGTCAGAGGTGCGGGGACTTTGTCTCCAGGCTGGAGAAGCAAGAGCCGCTGGACTCCAGAATCACTCTTAGTCTCCAAGGTGAGGCCTCACCGTGATTCTCTCTGTACCACACTTTCCCAATCTGCTTCTCGTCTTCTCTCCCCTCCTCAGTAATATTTTTTTATCACTATCGTTTGGTTCATGGTTTCACTGTAGTCCTGTGAGCATATACTCACTCAGTATAACCTCCCCAGCACCAGCAACCTTGTTCCTTCCTTGGAAATCCCTCCTCCTCTAATTCCACCTGGTTATGCACGAAGCAGCAGGAGTTACAGCAGATGCTTTCAGAAATTCAAACTACATCGAAAAATTAAACTCGATGAGATAGTGATCACTGCTTTAATTCAACAAACGATGCGCTTCTGCCAAAGGAACTAAACGACACAGCCAATGGCTGGCACATCCAGAACACAAAGAATATCGGTTTTAGCATACCATCGCATGACATATAAACATAGAGGAAGAACTTTAGCAATGAGATGCTCATGATTTCTCTGCAAAAACCATCAGTAGCATGTGGAGAGGAACCACTTAGTATCAGTAACACAGCAATGATGCTCTTAACCCCTCTTGAACCGATGGCATGTTAGTCATCAGACTTCCTTCAGAGGGCTCTGGAATCCTCTGCTTTTTCTCCTAACTCATCTTCTAGCAGAATAACAAATTCGCCTTCATCCTCATATTATCTGGTGATGTTCTTCTACATTTCACAAAACTAATTTTAGCATTACTGGATATCTATTCAAGACAGGGTTTCTCTTCGTAGCCCTGGCAGTCATGGAACACGCTCAGTAGACCAGCCTGGCCTGGAACTCAAGAGATCTGCCTGCCTCTGAAACTGAGTGCTGGGATCAAAGATGTGCACCATGACTCCCTGGCTGCCCATGCTGTTTTAACATAAGCACCTAAGTTTCAAATTTCTTAAAAGACTTTGAAATTAGCCAGTTCCTACTTTACCTTCAAAAGAGATGTGCTTGCTTAAAACGTCTTTGTCGTGATATTGTTGTTGAGTTTTATAGCTCTTGCTGATTTAACTCATTCATAAGAATGCTACTATTTTTATTGTCCTTAAAACATATCTAGTGCTTCTTTGGGGTTTATCAATCCATTTTTCCTTTCTTATTTTTTCATCTTTATTTCTTAACTATATATTCTACTGTCTAATTCTCTCCTTTTCATAAAGTGCCATAGATGGCTAAGTGCGTATAGAGTGAGATCCTGATGGCTATTTGATTCCTATATACACTGTTAAAAATCTTTTTACTGTTGTTATGCTTTGGTTTGATTATTTATATGTTGTAGGACCATTCATATTAAATAACTATAATCTATAAATTCTCCCATTTTGGAGGTTGGTGATCCTTCTTATACACACTGACTTTTGCTTCTGTTTTGGAATTGTGCACTGTGGGCTGATGTTCTGTGTAAGTTACCTCACGGAGATTTCCTTCCCACGTTCACACTAAGGTGTGGACTTCTACCAGGATTCCTCAGTGTGCTCTGCAAATCATTCAGAATCCCTTGGGTCAGTTTTCACTGTGTGGTTCCCTCTCCAAAGATGTGGAAAGTAGAAAAGCAAAAGACTCCATGGCTCTCCAGTCACAGCCGCTACAGGGAAATACAAGAGCATCGGCAGAGCTGGCGTGAGGTTTCCCAGCGCCTTCCTGCTGAGAAGGAGATGCACAGCCACCGAGCAAGCACTTCTGTAAAGAACCAGGGTCATATTTTAACCTTAGCAAGCCATTCAAGATTTTGGTTATGTAGTCTTAGATGTTTCTCTACTTTTCTGTATTATAGACACTTCGTATTCAATCGGAGACAGTCACATGGGCTGCGTCATAGACCACTGGCTCCTGCTTCTGAATAGTGCCTTCTCCAGTCCTTCCAGCCACTGGGCTCTGTGGTGCTGCTCTCCATGAATCGCCTATATTCTTAACATCTTCAGACACAGCAGAAGTCTCCTTGATCTTGTTCTCCTGTCCTTCCAAGGGCTGTGCAGGATTCTGCATCCCTGGAAAACCATCCATTTCCCTGTGCAATGCCCAGAGTGTGTTCCCTCTAAATCAGTCTTCACGTTAGTTTCCACCCTGACAAGTCAAGAAAGTTGCATATGGCAAGATGTCCCTGTGTTTCTAAGTTCCTTTCTAAGGTTCGGAAACTGAGAAAACTTATAAAGAAAATGTTTAGTTCCAAGGCATTAGAACCCATGACCATCATAACAGGCAGCATGGCAGCAGGCAGGCAAGCAGGCAGACATGGTGCTGAGAAGTAGCCAAGATCTCACATCTTGATCCACAAGCAGAAGGCAGAGAGAGATAACTAAGAATAGTATGGACTTTTGAAATCTCAAATCCCATTCATAGTGAGGCACCTCTTCCAAAAAGGTCATACCCCTAATCCTTACCAAACAGTTCCACCAACTGGGGACCAAACATTCAAATATATGAGCCATTGAGGGACCATTCTTATTTAAACCACGACTGTGGAATCCATTTTTTTCTATTGTGCTAATATCCTTAGCCATGGTGGATAAGCTTGGCCTGGTGCTAGTGTGGGAATATTTTTTCTTCCTTTTAAAACACTCAATTATGTTTTAACTTACACAAAGTAATGTATTTCATTATGATGTTTTCATACATAAGAATTATTATACTTTATTTCAATTCATCCTTTCCCCCACTGCCCCCATATTTTCTTTCTTTCTCTTCTTGCTTGCTCCCCCACCTACCCCAAATAGCCCCCCTTCTGTTTTCTTGCCACACTTGTTCCATTATTCCATTGTCTTGGGAATTTTCAACTCTTTCAAGATGAAAAGTTTATTACAGTTGCTCCTTCTATGCGAGCATCTTAGTTTCTGCTTCCTATGGTGGTCTAATTCTTGCGGTCCAGTCCCTTCTCAGCATAAACAAGGGAACTGCAGTTTCTGTAGGGTTTGGGGAGGGGTCTAATCCCTTCAGGGGCAGTTCAGCTTCCATGGACTTTGCTCAAAATTTCTAGCACAGGGATTGCCCTCCTTCCTTTGTAGTTGGTTCAAGCATTAAGGAGTGTTTTTATTCAGAAATTGCTAGAATTTTAAAAATGATGAAAACATTTTTAAAACCCATGACCCAACAAAGCAGAATGAGTAATGTCCACATTTCCTTAATCTACCCTACTGACCTAGAAGAGCAGAGTTCACATTCGTGAAGTAAGAGGGCAGTGTTGAATGGATGCCAGAGTCATTTCAAGCACTCTGCTGTTCTGGGTTGCTGCATCTAGGCACATCATGTTTATATATACATATCGCTGCCAACACTTAGACACATGTGCTGGCCTGCTGGTTATTTATCACTGAATGAGGGCCATTAGAAAGAAGTCAAGCCAGCACACATTGAATATTTGGCAATAGAAAGGGGATAAAGTGTGGCTAAAATGTTGCATGTAATGATTAGATTCATCATGTTGATCAGGGTTAATGAATCAAAAGACTCGCTCTCCATCATCTATTGATTACAAAGCAACTATTCATTTGGGAATGGCAAAAGAAAAAGAAATATGAATGTAAAACCAACCACACTTGATACCTGGGTTCTATGCTTCCCATAAAGGGATAGCTTGGGGCCTGTTTTGAGCAGAAATCTCAGTTTCTTCATCTGCCCATAATTCCAGCTAAATGGATCTTTTGATTCACTCATGATATGTTGATTACACATCTTCCTGACAGTAGGCAATGGATTTCATGCTAGGAACACCCGAGTATATTACACATTCAAAAATGCACTAGCCACAAAGTTTATGATCTGTGAGTCTCTCAGGACAACAGGTATGTGGACAGGTTATTGGCAGACACAAAGTTGGAGCGAGAAAGAAAAGGGCTGTAGAAAAAGGAAAATGTCAACTGACTTAGAAGAGTCCAGAAACAAGCACCATTGAAATTCAGCTCTAAGCAGAAGATCCATCAGAGGGGCGAGTGTGCTCCTGACCCGCGGCAGTAGCCCAGCAATGGAGCACAGACATTCCCCGACCCCCTTAACTCCCTGGTCATTCTGCAGGGGCTGCTCCACCCTGCTACATCCTCTCTCCTCCTATCCCATCCCAGCTTTCACCCAGGAACGCCTTCCCTTCTTCCTTCCTTCCTCGAGGTCATAAAATCCCCCAGCTCAGCCTGTTTGGATGCTGGGACAGGGTGGTGAGTGCAACCGGGCAGGCAGGAGCAAGGTAGGCCTTTGTCAGCGAGGTCCCTGGCCAGCAAGGGAACCTGACCCTGTACCAGAAGATCCACTGGAGAGCATTTGAAGGAAGAGATGAGCAGGCACCAAGACAGGAATTCCTCCAACAATCTGAAAAACAACATGAAAACACCAGAACCCAGCGATCTTACAACAGAAGGACTTGAACACCCTAATCCAGAAGAAGTGGAAAAAATTAACATTATAAAAGCGATAGAGTCCCTTAAACAGTATATTAAAAATCCTCTTAAAGAAATAGATGAGAAGTATAACAAAAAGTTTTTCAAGCAAACAGACCTAAGAAACAAGCGGGTGTGCCCATACTAATTTCTAACAAAATTGACTTCAAACTAAAATCAATCAGAAGAGATGGAGATGGACATTTTATACTCATAACAGGAATAATTCATCATGATGAAGTCTCAATCCTGAATATCTATGCCCCTAATATAAAAGCACCGACTTATGTAAAAGAAACACTTCTAGAACTCAAGGCAGTCATCAAACCACACACACTAATAGTAGGAGACTTCAACGCACCTCTCTCACCAATGGACAGGTCAATCAGACAGAAACCAAACAGAGAAATAAGAGAATTAATGGAGGTAATGAATCAAATGGACTTAATAGACATCTATAGAACATTCCACCCAAATAGGAAAGAATATACCTTCTTCTCTGCAGCTCATGGAACCTTCTCGAAAATTGACCACATACTCAGTAACAAAGCAAACTTCCACCGATACAAAAAAATATTAGTAACCACCTGTGTCTTGTTGGATCACCATGGATTAAAGTTAGAATTCAACAACAATGCTACCCCCAGAAAGCCTACAAACTCATGGAAACTGAACAGTCAACTACTGAATCACCCCTGGGTCAAGGAAGAAATAAAGAAAGAAATTAAAGTCTTCCTTGAATTTAATGAAAACAAAGACACAACATACTCAAACCTATGGGACACTATGAAAGCAGTGCTAAGAGGAAAGTTCATAGCACTAAGTGCCCAATTAAAGAAAACGGTGAAAGAACACATTGGAGACTTAACAGCACACTTGAAAGCTCTAGAAAAAAAAGAAGCTGATTCACCCAGGAGGTCTAGAAGACTGGAAATAATAAAACTCAGGGCTGAAATCAACAAAATAGAAACACAGAAAACAATCCAAAGAATCAATGAATCAAAAAGCTGGTTCTTGGAGAAAATCAACAAGATTGACAAACCCCTATCCAAATTAATCAAACGGCAGAGAGAGAACATACAAATTAATAAGATCAGAAATGAAAAGGGGACATAACAACAGACACAGAGGAAATTCAGAGAATCATTAGATCTTACTACAAAAGCCTGTATGCCACAAAATTGGAAAATGTAAAAGAAATGGACATTTTTTTTAGATAAGTTCCATATACTAAAGTTGAACCAAGACCAGGTAAACAATCTAAATAGACCTGTTAGTCACGAAGAATTAGAAGCTTTTATCAAAAACCTCCCTACCAAAAAAAGCCCAGGACCAGATGGTTTCAATACAGAATTCTACCAGAACTTCCAAGAAGAGCTAATACCTATACTCCTTAATGTATTTCACAATATAGAAACAGAAGAGTCATTGCCAATTTCTTTTTATGAAGCTACAGTTACCCTGATACCAAAACCACACAAAGACTCACCCAAGAAAGAAAATTACAGGCCAATCTCACTCATGAACATAGACGCAAAAATTCTCAATAAAATACTGGCAAACCAAATCCAAGAACACATTAGAAAAATTATTCATTATGATCAAGTAGGCTTCATCTCAGAGATGCAGGGCTGGTTCAACATATGCAAATCTATCAATGTAATCCATCATATAAATAAACTGAAAGAAACAAACCATATGATCGTTTCATTAGATGCTGAAAAAGCATTTGACAAAATTCAACACCTCTTTATGATAAAGGTGTTGGAGAGATTAGGGATACAAGGTTCATACCTAAATATAATAAAAGCTATTTACAGCAAGCCGACAGCTAACATCAAATTAAATGGAGAGAAACTCAAAGCCATTCCACTAAAATCAGGAACACTACAAGGCTGTCCACTCTCCCCATACCTCTTCAATATAGTGCTTGAAGTTCTAGCAATAGCAATAAGACAACGTAAGGGGATCAAGGGGATTCGAATTGGAAAGGAAGAAGTTAAACTTTCGTTATTTGCAGATGATATGATAGTGTACATAAGCGACCCCAAAAACTCTACCAAAGAACTCCTACAGCTGATAAACACCTTTAGTAATGTGGCAGGATACAAGACCAACTCCAGAAAATCAGTTGCCCTCCTATACACAAAGGATAAAGAAGCAGAGAGGGAAATCAGAGAAGCATCACCTTTCACAATAGCCACAAATAACATAAAATATCTTGGGGTAACTCTAACCATGGAAGTGAAAGATCTATTTGACAAGAACTTTAAGTCTTTGAAGAAAGAAATTGAAGAGGATACCAGAAAATGGAAGGATCTCCCTTGCTCTTGGATTGGGAGGATCAACATAGTAAAAATGGCAATTCTACCAAAAGCAATCTATAGATTTGATGCAATCCCCATCAAAATTCTTCACAGACCTTGAGAGAACAATAATCAACTTTATATGGAAAAACCCAGGATAGCCAAAACAATCTTATACAATAAAGGAACTTCTGGAGACATTACCATCCCTGACTTCAGACTCTATTACAGAACTACAGTATTGAAAACAGCTTGGTATTGGCATAAAAACAGAGAAGTCAACCTATGGAATCGAATAGAAGACCCAGATATTAACCCACAAACCTATGAACACCTGATTTTTGACAAGGGAGCTAAAAGTATACAATGGAAGAAAGAAACCATCTTCAACAAATGGTGTTGGCATAACTGGATGTTAACCTGTAGAAGAAGGAAAATAGATCCATATCTATCACCATGCACAAAACTCAAGTCCAAATGGACTAAATACCTCAATATCAATCTGAACACACTAAACCTGATAGAAGAGAAAGTGGGAAGTAGTCTACAAGACATAGGCACAGGAGACCACTTCCTACTTATAACCCCAACAGCACAGACATTAAGGGCAAAATTGAATAAATGGGACTCCCCTGAAACTGAGAAGCTTCTGTAAAGCAAAGGACACCGTCATTAAGACAAAAAGGCTACCTACTGACTGGGAGATCTTCACCAACCCCACAACAGACAAAGGTCTGATCTCCAAAATATACAAAGAACTCAAGAAACTAGACTTTAAAATGCTAATTAACCCAATTAAAAATGGGGCACTGAACTGAACAGAGGATTCTCAACAGAAGAAGTTCAAATGGCCAAAAGACACTTAAGGCCATGCTCAACCTCCTTAGTGATCAGGGAAATGCAAATCAAATCAACTCTGAAATACTATCTTACACCTGTCAGAATGACTAAAATCAAAAACACTAATGATAGCCTTTGCTGGAGAGGATGTGGAGTAAAGGGTACACTCATCCATTGCTGGTGGGAATGCAATCTTGTGCAACCACTTTGGAACTCAGT